CTTTTTCATGTATAATGAATAAACAATGTAGACATAACGAGAATATTTCTTGCATTTGTTTATAAATGTTACAGACATAACCTTTGTTCAGTAAACTACTGACTATGAATCAAGTTCTTTATTAATAATAATATTATTATGATTACTTACTTACTTATTACTTACTCCTGTTACTCCTCGTGAAGGAGCATAGGCCGCTCACCAGAATTCTCCATCCAACCCTGTCCTCGGCAATCCTTTCCAGATCTTTCTAGTCGTTATTCATCCTTTTCATATCCGCTTCTATTATGATTACCCAATAATAAATACAGAATGCCCTTTTTCTATATGATTATTGTTACTATTGACCTCTTACATGTAATTGGGTTTTATAGATGTTATCGGTGTTGTGTGTGTTTTTTTGCATAAGCATTTCAGAGACATGAACAATTTGTGTTAGTAATGTGTTTTTTCAAGTCACTGATGTTTCAACAAAACATCTATAACATTGTATATTAATAATCTCGCTTAAGGGACTCGAACATAGGACCTTCGGTGTCGCGTACGAACGCTTTACCTCTAGACTACTGAGCCAAACTTACATCGACTTATGAATTCAACTATTAAACATCACTCCCTCAGTCAGCGACGTGGAACTTCGTACGTACGTATATCAGTTCGAGTTGACATACCACATTAGCACAGAGATACAATTGTCAATTCAAATCCCACTGTGGTAGAGGTAGTAAAAGTAATCGGAAACATTAGGGTTTTAAGATGTGATTCAAGGAGTATAATCCAGTGAAACAAATTTGGAAAGAGAAAAAGAAAAGGGACATGAATAATTGAGAAGATTAGAATTTGAGAGAATACAAAAAGTGGATGCACCTGCACCATTACAAACGATTTTGAACCATGTCATTCAAGGTCTCTAACCATCGGTTGCTATCATCTCGGGGATCACAACCAGATGGTCTACACCTACCAACATGGCTCAATCCACTTGTCAGTGACTTCATTGATTTGTGCCATACTTTGATCTGGCCGCCCCTAGATTTCTTCCAACCTACTCCTACACCATAAAACATCTCACGTCGGGGCAGTCGGTGGTCTGGCATACGTAACACGTGTCCCAGCCATCTCAACTGATGAAGTTTCGAAGACACCTATGACCAAATACTAGCAACATACGAATATCCTCTACTATTAGCGGCCATGTTTTACAGCCATAAAGTAGGATGGAACGACCACTACAATCGCCCATTCTGATAAAAAACATTCATAACAAGTTATTTAAATAGTAGGTGTAGTTAATAGATATTAATCTTATCATGAACTGAACTACTTTTAATTTTCAAGTAGTATCTTAGAAAAATGACTTCAATTGTGAACAACTTCCTGATTTAGTATCTTGTTTTTAATTGGATATAAAGTATAATATCGAACTGTTGTAAATCAGCTAAACAATTTTTTTTAAAAAGTTATCTGAATGAAAGATCTGCGCTGAATGTACTTACCACGAGACAGAAGGTTCTAGTTTGATCTTTGACCGTATTGTGAGTATTGTCTTACACTGAGACAAAACAGTTTTACCGTGTTTAGTTATAGCCAGTTCATAATGTTAATCTTCTTCCAAATATCACTTCATATTTACAGTAAGCTTCAGGAAATTATGAAGTCCTTATTTCTCAACTAGATACACGTTTTTCTTTGAAACTTACTGAAATATACTAAGTTAACCATCTTAATTCTTTGCACGTTTCTTCTTTGTTTACTATTTGAAGAAATAGGTGACTACATTGGCATTTACACAATTATAATGTAAAGCATAAGGAACTAATTATAACCGCTAAACTGTTATAGGATTCCTTAACAGTGTACACCTATGATATAGCTAGTAGAACTCGAACTCAGAACCGGTTTCGTGTATGAACGCTTACCATGTAGACCACTGAGCCGGAGTCAAATGGTATTAATGTCTAATTTCAACCAATCCACAAAATTGTCCCATCTTCCACTATTGTCTTCAGTGAGTTACTGCCTCACAACAGACATGGTTGAACTTCAGTGATCAAAGTTTCTTACTAGATCTCTAGGAAATACTTCATGAAACCAGTCACTAGTGAATACATGATGATGATTACTTATAAGTAGTATCAATAGTATTATGTGACTAAAAACTGATGAATTGGCAATATAGCTTATGAAATTTGTCTCATGTTGGCGGATGCCTCGATATAGTCTTAAGTCACAAGCTTTTTAAACAAAAATTGATAGTGGCTAACAGTGAAATCCACGACAAAGCGCGTTTCGTTCTATCTTGGACTCGGCAGCTGCATGTATCTGAATCCCAGAGTTGATGTTCACTCTAGGACTCGAATACAGTACCGTTTGCTTCAAATGCCATCACGTTATCCACTTAGCTACTAAGTCCTCATAGCGACCTGCTTGTGCAATGGGGTGAAGTTTAAATTCTCTTGTTGTTGTATAATTGTATCTTCCCATTGTTATTTAGGACTACAATTGATCAGTCTCATGTTGGCACATACGTATCCTGTGCGGATTACCTAGATATAGCCTTAAGTCACAAGCTATTTAAGCAATAAATCAAGACTATGAATAAATATAATAACTAACCGAACCAATATTCTAATGTAGGATCTTCATAGAGGATGGAACAGCTTTTCAGAAGAAAATACCTATTTGATTAAGTGAATAAATTATACTGGATGATTCAGAAATTAGATGAACTCATTAGTTTAGATGTAATCGCGTTGAAAGAATAAAGGTAACAATACCTATTCAAATCAAACTGAATTTATGCTTTCATATACAAATAGTGGTCAGTAGTATAATAGGACAAATAATATAGATGCATAACTTTTAAAATTTTCATACAAAGGGTAAGTATTTAAATTTCTAATGCATAATTGGTTGAGAATTAGTTACTTACTCCTGTTACCGCTCGTAGAGGAGTATAGGTCATCCACCAGCATTCTACATCCAACACTATCTTGGACAATCCTTTCCAATTTGATGCAATTGCCATTCATCTGTTTCATATCTACTTCCGATTCCCGATGCAGTGTGTTTTTCAGCATCCTCTTTCCCATTTCTTTTTACGACTCCAAGTTAGGGCTTGCCTCGTGGTACAGTTTGATAATTTCCGAAATATGTTTCCTATCTACTTCCAATGTCTTTTCCTAATTTCCTCATCAACTGGAAGTTTGTTTGTTTTCTCTTACAATAAACTGTTGCTGGTGATATCTGGTCAACAATGGATATCAAGTATATTGAGTTTTAATTCTTTTTAGTACTTATACCTTTCCAATGTTGGTTGTGGTAGATCTCCAATTTTCAGTTCCATACATCAGAACTGTCTTGACGTTCGTATTAAAGATTCTAACATTGATATTGACTTCTATTCAATTGTTTTGAGTTCCATATATTGTTCAACTGTAGAAATGCTGTCCTTGTTTTGTCAATTCTCGCATTTGCTTCTCCGCCAGATCTTCCACGTTCATCGATGATACTACTCAGATATGTGAATGTTTCTACCTGTTCCTTAGCTCCTTCATCAAGCATGATTCAATTGGTGTTCTCTGTGTTGTATTTGAGAATCTTGCTTTTTCACTTGTGTATTTTAAGGACCACTTATTCAGAGGCTGGTTCACGATCAGACCATAGTATTTTTATATTTTCCAATTTATGACCAGGTTATGCATTGTATGTACATTATAATAATCTAACTGTGTCAGTGTGTTTCAAGACATTTCATATATATTATTCGATGAAGTTTGAGTCATAATTGAATTTAGAACAATAGAGAACTGAGATCTGCTTTCTATCTTCGTTTATTTTTCTTTGGCTTAACACTGAATTATATATATATATATAGCGTTTTTTTAGCGAGTTAGTTTTCTACGGGATGGGGTCGCTAATCCCATCCATGCCCAACCCTCCTCCTTTATCTGGGCTTTGAACCGGCAGTAGCCCCCGGAGGGACTCCAGGCGGAGTTTTATATATATATATATATATATATATATATATATATATATATATATATATATATATATATATATATATATATATATATATAGTGTGGTCTGTGCTACTGATGTCTACAAATATAAGTAGTACATATCATTAATCGAAAGTGAAATGCCTGGAGGTGGAAGGTTAAGAAGATCAAAGAAAAAAGAATGAGAACAAAGAATAATTGATGTTGAAACGAAAGAACAATCAAGTTTTTATTCACGACAATAGTAATGCGAATCAATACTATCACAATACTTTCATTCATTGATATTTATTATGGAACAATATGAATCCAGTTAAGAATCGATAAATCAATAATTGATTAATGTTATTCTTTGATAACTTTTATTTCTATCTTATTCAAATTCATTAAAAGGGTTATCTGTATGAATGAAACAATCATAATTGAAATCACAAATCAATAAATCTGATATCAAATCGAAAACTTGTTAATAATGCTCGGTTTTACTTCATCTAATTTTATAACGGTTAGGTTTCCCATGTTTACACGTATAGAACATTAATTTACCTTCAACAAATATCTACAATAGATTCCCTTCTCAGTGTCTATTATTCTAAAGGATTTCAACACAACTCAGATGAAGAACACGTGATTTTCAGTTTAGGGATTGTGGAGATTGTCAAGTTTTTGATTGAGATCATCAACCGATTGATGTTAGATCACTATTGAAAACCTGGAAGCAATTGATGGCTGTTTAGTCTTATCGTGGTACTCCTCAGTAGTGCGCATCCACGACTTTGACCTCTGCGAGATTCAAACCCAGGACCTCCTGGTTTCGCGCGCGAGCACTTAAACACTAGACCACTGAGCCGGTCGGCATCCAGTGGTGTTAATGTCTAACTTCAAGTAATCCACGAATCTGAGCGACATATCCACCATTGTCTTCAGTGAGTTACTATCTCAAAACAGACCTGGTTACACTCTAGTGGTCACTATTTCTTTAAGTATTGTTCAGATCTACAGTATTATGATTCTTAATTGATTAAAAAGAAAGTTTTAGCTCAATAAATGTTTTATTGAAGATACTCTTTCGTTTGAGAAAAATCCAGATCGTAGTGGAGGAAAAAATCAGGAAGAAGTGATGGAAGTGGATAGAATATACATTGAGGAAAGCATCCAACTGAGTCAAAAAGCAAACCCTCACATGGAATCCTCAAGGCCAAAGGGAAATAAGAAAATCAAAGAACATATTATGTCGAGAAATGGAAACAGACATGAGAAAAATAAACAAAAATTGGATAGAACTTGAAATAAAGGCCCATGACAGAATGGATTGAAGAATGCTAGTCTGCGGTTTATTATCCATTAGGAGTAACAGGCGAAAGTAAGTAAGTAAGTAAGTAAGTAATTAAGTACTCTTCGGTTTCGTGGAACAAGACAGTTAGCATTTTATGGAAAAAAAATTGATAACAGTTGAAAAAAACTACTGAATACTAAAGAACAGTAGAGAGTTCATTACTTCATATCTCTAGTTGAATTCGTTATGAATCAATAAGTGAATAAACATTTAATATAGAATATTTTTAAGTAATATTTGTTGTCATCTTTGATAACTCCGTTTTTGGTTAACACGATTGAACTTCGACTGATAATGGTTTCTAACTAGAATTACAACCGTTGATATTCATCAATAAATATTTCTAGTAATTTTAGTAGTTGAGATCATGAATCAATTGAAGCTAGATCACCATAGAAAACCTAGAAGCACTGTACGGCCGTTTTAGTTCTAATGTTAGACTTTTCAACCATGCGCATCCACAATTCCGTTTCGCAGGATTCAAACCTAAGAGCTATCAGTGTCACGCGCGAGCGCTTAACCACTAAACGACTGAGCTGGCTGGCATCTAATGGTGTTAATGTCTAACCTCAACTAATTAAGCAACACATCCACCATTGTCATCAATGAGTTACTCTCTCACAAACTACCACAAATTAATCCATTGATGAATAATATAAATATGATCATTAGTACCTTGTTTCGAGAAGAGTCCTTAAATTTCCAATGAGTTATCATGAATTGTAAAGTTCCGAATTGTCAAGGGAAGAATAGTTGTCATCAGTTACTTTGAATAGCATACATGCCACCGTATAAATTAACGTAAGCCGTAATTATTTTCTATGGTATCTCATCCTCGTGATTTAATGTTTAGGCGCTTACAGTCAGATATAAATGTTATCCCATTACCAAGATAAAAGAGTTATCTAGTACTTTGTGATTTACAATGATACTATAGTCAAAGTTAACCTGTTGAAAATATCACCTATAAAAGAAACATCTATTTATTACAATATTGATTAGTTCAACTAGGTCTGTTGTGAGATATCAGCTCACTGAAGACAATGGTGTACGGTGGCGCAACTTCGTGAATTAGTTGAAGTTAGACATTAACACCGTTATATGCCGGCTCAGTGGTCTAGTTGATTAAGCGCCTGGCGCGAGACTGATAGGTCCTGGGTTCGAATCTCGCAGGAGGGGGGCGAGATCGTGAATGCGCACTGCTGAGGAGTCCCATACTAGGACGAAGCGACCGTCCAATCCTTCCAGGTTTTCCATTGTGGTCTAGCTTCAATTGACTGATTATCGTCGAATCACTTACAATGATCCCACTAATAACCTAACAAGCTATGAACTTCTTAATTAACATATACATTTTAACCAGGTAATATGCTTACCTATATTTAATATTTAACTAAAAGTGATAAGAAATCCAGATGATCACTACTAAATATTACATAGAAAACAATAATTATCCAAAATTTGATCCCTGATCATTAGTTGAGGTTAATATCAGTAAAAATCTCACTATTCATTCATTCATTCATTCATTTCTTTATGCCTGTTAACCCTAATGGAGCATAAGCAATGAACCACTCTATCATATGCCTTCCTTCTTAATTTTATCCAATTGTTGTATCAATTCTTCTCCACTCGAAACCACTTTGAAGCTACTACCGATCTCAAATGTGGATATAATAGAAAGATTGGACATTAGATTAGCGAAAACTAACTCTCTATTTAAAAAAACAAAACAAAAAACACTAACCAGACAAAATTCTCAATATATTATTCATCAAATATCAATAGAGCATTTTTTTATCCAATCTAAATCAACTACTTATATAATCATATTTATGAGTAGTAATGTCAGAGAAGAAGAAGAAGAAGAAGAAAAATGAACTAACCAAAAATCATTGAATTATTTGTTTTTTGGTTTATTTGCTTACTTCTTTTCAATGTGTCAAGCCAGTTCTACTGTATGGAGCTGAAACCTGGAGAAGTACAACAACCACCATCAAGAGGGTACAAGTATTTATCAATAGCTGTTTACGCAGGATACTCAACATCCATTGGCCGGATACCATCAGCAACAGCCTTTTGTGGGAGAGAACTAACCAGCTTCCAGTTGAAGAGGAAATTAGGAAAAGACGATGGAAATGGATAGGACATACATTACGCAAATCATCAAACTGCATTACGATGCAAGCTCTAACTTGGAATCCTGAAGGGAAGCGGAAAAGAGGAAGGCTAAAGAACACATTACATCGGGAAATAGAATCAGATATGAAAAGGATGAATAACAACTGGAAAGAGATGGAAGGGATTGCCCAAGACATGGTTGTATGGAGGATGCTGATGAGCGGCCTATGCTCCTTTGTGAGGTGTAACTGGCGTAAGTAAGTAAGTAAGTAAGTTAGTAAGTAAGTTCTTTTCAATGTGTCAATATATAAAATCTAATAATAATCATAATAATAATCCATCATTTAGTTTTGTTTTAATTATCTTATTCAATATTCAATATTTAGCAAGTAAACGTTTTAATTTTGCACGGAAACTTTGATTCAATAATGAATAAATAAAAAAATTCACAGCATTATTGACATAATAGAATTCATGATGTACCGTTGTCATGAAACTTCCATCATTCTCTTGATTATTTATCATGAATTTTGTAATATTATTGAATCGATTGTTTGGATGAATACTATTATTAGTAGAGTAATTCGTGATGGTGGTGGTGCTGATAGCGGTGGTGGGGGTCGGGGTAGTAGTGGTGGTGGTGGTGGTATATTTCCACCAGAATTTAAAATGTACCCATAAAACAGGAAATAATGTAGCATAAAATATTACAGTAGAAATAAATATCATTAAGCCTGTACGATGACTACGTGTTACACGTTTAGAGACTAAACGATTAACCGAGAATGGTGATATTGGGGACGGTATTGTTGTTGTTGTTGTTGTTCCAGTATTCATAATTGATTTATATTTTGTTAGAATAGATCTATTCGATTCTTGTTTATCATGTGGATGTTCAAATAATGTTGATATAGATGGTGTTTTTAATATGATACGTCTTTTTTTTAATGTATTCCATTGTATAGTTGTTTGTAAATTATGTTGTTGATAACATTGCTGTTGTGGTTGTTGTTGTTGTTGTTGGTGGTGGTGGTGATGATGATGATGGTCGTGTTGTTGTTTTGTCATTATTTGATCACAACTTAATTGTTTAACTAATCTAAATGGTAATCCATATCTTATTGATTGTGATGTACCACAATCGTGTTCACAATTGTTTTTTGAATCAATTGATAGAACAGTTGAAGTGGATTCATTTTCCCTAGTCATCTTGAATACTGGTTCTATTTCACTATCATCTATTGATGATTGTAAAAATGAATTAGATTTATTGAATAATTTCATTGATGAATAATTAGTAGTACTAGTATTATTATTATTATTATTATTATTATTAGTAGTAGTAGTAGTAGTAGTAGTAGTTAACCATCGTTGTTTACGTAAATCATTCTCTCGAACTGTTATAAATATTCTTACATATAAATATGTAATAATAATAAATGATATAAAAGTTAATAAAATATAGATTTGATTGATTAATTCACGAAATTTCTCTGTTAATTGACAATCCCATTTACTTAAATCAAATATAATCAATATACATTCCAATAAACATGTTCCTATAGTAACTATCATCAATATTGAAATGATACATGTATTTGATGGACATAATTGATTAGTTTTATATTTCATATTAGTGGAATTGGTTGAGTTCATTAATTGTGATGATGTTTTTATTTCATTCGAGTTACCATAATTAGATGTACCCTTTGAGAATAATGAAGTCATTTTAATAGGATGAATATAATTTATATTATTATTATTATTATTATTATTATTATTATTGTCTATTTTATTCAATAAATGACAACATATTGATTTACATATACCTCCTTGTTTAACAAGGATCATATATCGTTCAAATGCAATTGCAGCTAATACACTACCTTCACATGCAAATATAATATTACGTAATAATGTAAGTATAGCATTTAATTTATAATTGGCATAAAATCCTTTATCATTATTATTATTATTATTATTATCATTATTAGTATTTATTCCAGTTTGATTTATAAAAGAATCATTTTGGTTACTATATAGATCATATTTAATGAATATAGGAATAGTTTCATCATATGCATAATTTGCAACACGATATATATCCCATGGTAATATAAATAAACATGTTAATAAATCAATAAATGCAAGTAATAATATTAAATTTTGTTGATTTAATTTATTTCTATATAATGGTAATGGATAAGATTTTATTATATTGAATGATGTTGAATTAGAGTTTAATTTATTTGTCATAGTAGTATCCAAGGGATTATTATTATTATTATTATTATTATTATTATTATTATTGATATTTGATTTCATATGGTTATTGATCATTGTATGAGGAATCATGTAACGATTTGTATAAGGTTTAGGTTTTATACAATAAACAATTATAACTAAACTATTACCAATAATACCTAATAAACATATTATACTTAATAGAATCACTGATATAATTGATTGTATAAATGAGACATGATCTCTTTCATGTATATTATTACATTTTGGCAATTTATCATTTATCATAATCAATTTTATAATGAATTTTTTTTTTAAAATTATATAATAAATGAAATGATTGAATTCATTCAATGGTTACTATTAGTATTATTATTATTATTATTATTCTTTGTATGATTTTTCTTTATTTAATCATTTAGAGTGTCATTGGTGTGTGTGGGGGGGGGTGTTGGTGGTGGTGGGGGAACTGTTGTTGTTGTTGTTGTTCTTGTTTTCATTAAATGTTTTGGTTTGCCTAACTACTACTACTATTACTATTATTGTGAAATGTCTATTGTACAAATAGATTTGATTGGTTATTGAGTAGTAACTAAGCTTTGGTTTATTTTTGTAATATTTATATGAATTCAAATGGCAACGGTGCTTATGATTATTATTATTATCATTATTATAAATTGAAGGAATTCATTGATTGGTTAAAATTATATTCAAAGTTGTTGTCATGTCAACATAGGAGATTGCTTCATTTTGATTGGTTGTTAGATAGACTGTTAAAAATGACCAATTAGAATTTAATTTAATTTCAGTCTAGTTATTTGATGTAAATTATGGAAAATAATTACTTACTTACTGACACCTGTTTACTCCTGAATGGAGCATAGGCCAACAACCAGCATTCTCAAACCGATTCTGTTCTGCGGATAATAGTATCCGGCCAACGGATCTGAAGTATTTTGCGTAGACAACTATTAATAAACACTTGTATGTTCTGGATAATGGCTTTCGCAGTTCTCCAGGTTTCCGCCCTATGGAGTAGAACTGTCTTGACATTTTTATTGAAAATTCTAACTTTGGTGTTGTTCGACAAAGAGTTGTTTTGAGTTCCGGATGTTCTTCATTTTTAAATATGCTACTCTTGCTTTTTCAATCCGCGTTCTCACATGTGCATCAGATGCACTCCTCCTAAAGTCCCTTTAGGAGCTACTGCCAGTTTTAAGCCCGGATAAATGAAGAGGAGTGGGCATGGCGTTAGCGACTGCATCCCGTAGAAAATTAACTCGCTAAAAAAACACTAACCAGTGGAAAATAATAGTTCATTTATTTTGTAGTGAAAAGTCCCGGTTAGACATTTAGTTAATAATGAAGGAACGAATCGAGTGATAAAGTTCCGGTGAGACTACGATTTATGAACAATTTTTGAGCGACGATAAACTGACTTTCATAGTGTCCACCTAATAAATAGGACCAAATGAGCGTGATAAACCTGTGTGAGGAATTAGAATTGCGATTTACACTTGATAGTTAAGGTTAGGATTTAGGTTTAAGGTTTTTATCACGAACTGACATAAGCTATAATGCTATAACTCTATTTTTCCAAATAGATGAGTGAATTTCTCGTCAAAATCCGAGATCTGTCATCTTATACGTGATTGGTTCGTCCATAAATTATAGTCTCACCGAAATTTATTTTCCAATTAATCTTTCACTATAGCTCTACACTAATATATATGGGGCGTGCAATTCTGCAAGTTTGTCATCGTATAACAGAACACCATTCATTGTGGTTGAATAAAAGATAGGTAAGAGTGATTGTATTGGTTCACTTAGTAGATATAAGTCATCAAGTTGAATAGAATAAAGATTTCAAGGTTATCCACCATATTCCATCAAATTTTCCACATGGTTTACGAGTGCATCTTTTGTACATAGTTGAAGTCATTTCAATCCATATTCACAAACCTAACCTTTGCAGCATTCAAAAGAAGTTTTGTACAACCACTCTCACCACCTTAGCCATCGGTATAGGAGAGTTTAAAGCAGACCTTTAATAAACTATTTTTACCTATTTCTTTCATTTTTTTTTTGTATTTTACTTATTCTCAACATTCATCCCTTGATTCTTGCATAACTACTATACCACTGAACATTCATCAAAATATATTGTTAGTTCCTTCTTCTCTTTTTATATATTATGTAACGTGGAAATTGTTTGTATTTCGAAGAATTACTTTGATTATTTAATAGGTGAATTTATAAGTCGATTAAAACTAGACAGCCATGGAAAACCTAGAAGCATTGAACAGCCGTTTTGTCTTAGTATGGGACTCCTCATTAGTGAGTATTCACGATCTAGCCTTCCGGGATTTGAACCCAGGATTTATCGGTCAACCATGATTATTGATCATTACAATCCTATTGCTTCCAATATACTCAATGTTAGTTTATAGTTGATATGTCATTGTATAATTATTACGTAACGTATCTACTCGATGAGTATTATTTCATTATTGTAAGTCATATAGATATAGGTATTAATGTAGAGCTATGATATAGAGCTAATTGAACAGAAATTTCTTCACTCGATTCGTTCCTTCTTTAATTTTTTTTAAAATGCCTACTAACTGATTATGCAGTTTAGGGTGAAATAATCTATAATGCTGTTAAATTTCTGGTTAGCAATTCATTAGCGAGTTAGTTTTCTACAGGATGAGGTCGCTAACCCCATGTCCAACCCTCCTCCTTTATCCGGACTTAGGACCGGCAGTAGCCCAAGAGGTGCTCCAGGCAGAGTAACAGACGTAAGAATATCGGAATAGCCAACTTGACTCATTCATCAATTTCAAAGATGAAATGGACAAAATACAAGGGGTTTTTTTTTATCATTCTTATACAGTTTATTTATTTGTGATCTTTCTTTTCTATGAATATTAGAAAACATATACTTCTCTCAATAAACCACATTGAAAGAATTATATTCCTTCATCAGATACCATTGCTAAAAGCTTTTCAATAGACCTTTAAAAGGTTTATTATCCTTAAGTAACTTTTTGACCGTGAGATCACAGATCCATTTATCGAAATTCATTGTAAAAATTTCATATGGTTTAGGAACTTAAATAGACTAGAGATTTGAGTAGAATAGTATGAATTCATTTTACTTGTCAGTTGTCTACAACGTGTGATATTTAAATTACTTACATGAAGTAGTTCAAGCAAAGATGGATAGTGAATAGCAATCGAATCCAAGACATGTGTTTCGTTCTATTTAAAACTTGTCAGCTGGATGTACGTACATCCCAGAGTTGATGTTCACTTTGGGTCTAGAACCAAGTACTGTTCACTTCAGACACCATCACGTTAACCATTTAGTTACTGAGTTTTGATAGCCATCTGCTTGTGCAATGAAGTGCAGTTTAAATTCACTTGGCAACATGAGACTGATCAATTGTAGTCTTAAATAACAATGGGATGAAACAAATAGAACGACGCCAAGTGAATGAAGTAGTTTAGTTGGAAGTTATTTTGAAGAAACATTAGTATAATATAGCAAAGGTGTAAATAATTTGAATACACTGTTAACATATAACTTATACTAAAGTATATTGTACAATATTGATATGAGGATTATTGCATAATTATTACGTATGTACTCATAAATGCTTTAGTATGGTCAAGGTTGCGGAGAGTCAGCTCACCCTCTCTAAATGCTCTCACAAGACCACGGTATACAGCCACTGACAGGGAAGTCCTACTAACTGACTTCTCGTGGCATTACTGTTGCTAACAAAATTGAGGGGACGAAAAGCGAATGCATGGTGCTTTAACCGGGATGTTGAATTCGGAGGGTTCATCTAGGGGAGTTGGAAATCCTTGATTCCAAACCAACGGTGTACATGGGCTCCAGGATCCTCAGGAAACAAATGGCATATGAACTAATTATTGGTCACCGGTTACCATGAGACTACTTCTCCTAACGTTGTTCCAATGCCTTGTGGATTAAACCTTTAGGTGAGACTTCTCAACAGTGTACATCCACGATCCCGCTTCGTGAGATTCGAACGCACGACCTATCGGCTTCGCCTCGCCTACTAACAAGAATATTTAAAATAGATTAGGTTGTTAGATTGAGATTTGCATCAAAACAAAATCAACTGGAAAATAATAGGACATATGTCCTAATTATCAATATTACCCAGTATTCATTATTTAATTGATCAGCATGTGATAAAATATACTTGTTTGTAGAATTCTTTTTAAATCAAACAACAAAGTTGATAAATGTCAAAATCATCGTGTTCAACTTGTAAAAGGGAGAAGAAAAAAAACAGAAGTATTTGTTTACAGCAAATAAATGAAGTAAATATTACAAGTGTTATGTAATCATAAAGATAAGATTGAAGCAAATGTGTCTAGATAAACAAATAGATAACTGGACAGATAGATAGATGTGTGGATAGAGAGATAGAGAGATAGATAGATAGATAGATAGATAGATAGATAGATAGATAGATAGATAGATAGATAGATAGATAGATAGATAGATAGATAGATAGATAGATAGATAGATAGATAGATAGATAGATAGATAGATAGATAGATAGATAGATAGATAGATAGATAGATAGATAGATAGATAGATAGATAGATACATAGATGTGTGGATAGATAGATAGATAGATAGATAGATAGATAGATAGATAGATAGATAGATAGATAGACAGATGTGTGTATAGATAGATAGATAAATAGATAGATAGATAGATAGATAGATAGATAGATAGATAGATAGATAGATGTGTGTATAGATAGATAGATAGATAGATAGATAGATAGATAGATAGATAGATAGATAGATAGATAGATAGATAGATAGATAGATAGATAGATAGATAGATAGATAGATAGATAGATAGATAGATAGATAGATAGATAGATAGATAGATAGATAGATAGATAGATAGATAGATACATAGATGTGTGGATAGATAGATAGATAGATAGATAGATAGATAGATAGATAGATAGATGTGTGTATAGATAGATAGATAGATAGATAGATAGATGTGTGTATAGATAGATAGATAGATAGATAGATAGATAGATAGATAGATAGATAGATAGATAGATAGATAGATAGATAGATAGATAGATAGATAGATAGATAGATAGATAGATAGATAGATAGATAGATAGATAGATAGATAGATAGATAGATAGATAGATAGATAGATAGATAGATAGATAGATAGATAGATAGATAGATAGATACATAGATGTGTGGATAGATAGATAGATAGATAGATAGATAGATAGATAGATAGATAGATAGATAGATGTGTGTATAGATAGATAGATAGATAGATAGATAGATGTGTGTATAGATAG